TCTTCCTTGCCTCCTCATCATGGTTCTCATGTGACTGTGGGATACCAAGGTACTTGTAGCTGATCTCTATGTCTGCTATGTGGCCCGCTGGTCTTAACTACCCTCCCTCTCTTTACTACCATCTGGCCACACTTCTCCAGTCCGAATGACATCCCAATGTCCTCACTGTAGATCCATGTCAGGTGGATCAGCGAGTCGATGTCTCATTCACTCTTAGCATACACTCTTAGCATACAAAATTACATCTTCATATAGTTTTATATATAAAACTTTATGGGTATAATTACATATAGAAAGACACACACACACATTAGGTATGTATGTATACATATATTCTCTCATATATATATAGATATATAGATATAGATATAGATATAAGTGTAGATTAAGAAAAACAGAGTTAAAATACAACATGTCTTGCATAAAAGACCTGTTCACAGTGGAAGCTAAGCATATCTAGGTTATGTCCAAATCCCATGGTTTCTAACTGCTGTTGCTACTGCCAAAAATTTGGCTAGTTTTCTGGAGACTTTATAGTCCTGCTTATTTAATAGGAAGCACGTGATCGGGATCAGTGTGAATAATTTACCACTGGATGAGAGATTGGCTCCCTCCTCCAGGAATGACAGGACATTTCAGGAGTGCCTGTGGGGCTGTTTCAGTTTCTGTGTCCGAACATATGCATAAGTGATGTTGATAAGGAGTAATTATTCTCTCCATCAGCACCATTGAAAGTAAAGCTTCTAAATGTGCCAAAATAAATGCCCTTCTCTGTGAGGCACAAGGATCTGATAAAAATATTGGGCGTAGTAAGAGGTGGACCTGTGCACTTGTGATAGCAGAGATGTGAGGTCTGTCCCTTTGCCCATTGAGATCTAAAATTCGCTTTTCTCACCAAGGGCTCTGTCTGCCTTTCAGAAGCCCAAAGGCTATAATCTATTTTTTCTAATCACCAAAACCATAAATCATAAGTTCATTTTTTTCTGTTTCATGCAAAAAGTCTATAAGGGGTTTCTAGTCAACAGTAATTGTAGATAAATGTCTTTTCTCTGATCAGAGAAGTCAATTTGGCCATCTCAGCAAATTCCATCATCTTCACCATCCATTCCTCCATTGTGGGTAGTATCAAATCCTTCCAACTTTGTGCATATAGTAATCTTGCTGCAGTTATCATGTATAAAAACAAAGTTCCATAGCTTTTCCAACTGTTTGTCCATCAGTTCCGAAAGAAGAGGCTCCAGTTTCAATTGTATATTGATTTTTAAAATCTTTTAAATTAGTGTATGTATTTGAATCTAAAACTTTCTGGCTTTTTTGCATGTTCACCAAGCATAATAAAATGTCCCTTCTTGTTGTTCACATTTCCAACGTAAATTTGAAGTGCCTTTATACATTTTAGGCAATTTCTCTGGTGACATATACCAATGGCACATCATTTTATAAAAATTCTCTTTAAGATTGTAACATAATGTAAATTTCAGTTCTTTCACATATTCTTCCATTCTTCCATTTATATACTATAACCAAAATTTTTAGCCCACTTCATCATACATTCTTTCACTTGTTCTTCTGTTTCAAGCAGAGAGTTAATGTTTAACCATAGAGTAAGAGGTAAATCTATGCTTACACTTATAACTGCTGTAAAGGAAATCGGAAGCTATTTCTTTATATTTTCTTTCTTTTCTTTTGCAGTTTTGACTTTATCTTTTTCTTTTTTTTCCTCTTATCTTTGTTCTGTATTAGTTTCTGTTAGTTTTTATCTTATTAAAGTTTCTAATTTTTCATATATACATGAATGAATGAATGAATGAATGAATGAATGAATGAATGAATGAATATACATACATACATACATACATACATACATACATACAAAATGTACCCTCCCCACAACATGAAAAGTTCTATCAGGCATCCTAGCCACCAAGCTACAAGACCATATGGGCCAGTCCATAAGCACAGCTCACATGTGTATTGGGAACAACACCAGAGGCTCAAAACACCAGTTGCTCATAGAGAGAGCAGTCGCCCGAGACTCAAGGACTAGGCAGACCAATCTGAGCACAGCCTGGATTGACTACAGGAAAGCCTACGACTCATGGATCTGTGAGTGCCTATACAAAGTCAACAGGACACTAAGGACCTTCCTCAAGAGCTCAATGGGACTGTGGAAGA